TATTGGCGAGTTGTGTTGCTAAATTTGATGTCAGAAAAAAATAAGCGTCAGTAAACAAAAAATAAGTGTCGCCAAATGCAGTTTTTCTTGTAGTGCGGCCTTTATTTTCCATGAACAAAGTACTCGGAAATGAGCTAACACTTGTACTAAAGTCGTGTTAATTGTTGATAAATGTCAAAAGTTAAATATTAGTTCGAATTTTATCTTTCTTGAAATTCTCAAATATTAAAATTAAATCACATAATTGTTGATAAATGTCAAAAGTTAAATATCAGTTCGAATCTTATCTTTCTTGATATTCTCAAATATTAAAATTAAATCACACATGTAAAACTTATGGGAATATGACGAAAATCGTGTATCGAGACTCGATTTTGTATAAGAACCCGCATCGGCGGCCTTGGTTCGAACACGATAAAATGTGTAAACCCGCACTGACGGCCTTGATTTACACATTAATAAGTGAAAAACCTGCACTATCGGCACTACAAGAAAAATTGCATTTGGCGACGCTTATTAATGACGCTTATTGGCGAGTTGTGTTGCTAAATTTGATGTCAGAAAAAAATAAGCGTCAGTAAACAAAAAATAAGTGTCGCCAAATGCAGTTTTTTTTGTAGTGCGGCCTTTATTTTCCACGAACAAAGTACTCGGAAATGAGCTAACACTTGTACTAAAGTCGTGTTAATTGTTGATAAATGTCAAAAGTTAAATATTAGTTCGAATTTTATCTTTCTTGAAATTCTCAAATATTAAAATTAAATCATATAATTGTTGATAAATGTCAAAAGTTAAATATCAGTTCGAATCTTATCTTTCTTGATATTCTCAAATATTAAAATTAAATCACACATGTAAAACTTATGGGAATATGACGAAAATCGTGTATCGAGACTCGATTTTGTATAAGAACCCGCACTGGCGGCCTTGGTTCGAACACGATAAAATGTGTAAACCCGAACTGACGGCCTTGATTTACACATTAATAAGTGAAAAACCTGCACTATCGGCACTACAAGAAAAACTGCATTTGGCGACGCTTATTAATGACGCTTATTGGCGAGTTGTGTTGCTAAATTTGATGTCCGAAAAAAATAAGCGTCAGTAAACAAAAAATAAGTGTCGCCAAATGCAGTTTTTCTTGTAGTGCGGCCTTTATTTTCCACGAACAAAGTACTCGGAAATGAGCCTTTTTTCTTAATTTTTATTACTTTCAACTTCCTTCCTTTACATTAATGAGTACATGGCTTTTTATAGCCTAAAACTAACATAATTTAAATATTCAAATTACAACTAACTAACCATTCAAATTTAAATGATAACTTACTAATAATCTATCTAACTAACACAACTAAAATTAACTACTCCCGCTCATATACTTCATCGAACTCGAATGCTCGGTTCGCATCATTCCCGACCCCTTCATGATTATCCTTGTCCTCAAGGATAAAAATTTAAATTGTTCACGAATCGACGAGACCACGTAATTCTTCTTCTGATCCAATGTGATCATACGTGAGAAGTTGTTTCGGCCGAACACGGGCCACATTCCTGGCGCCAAAGTCATCTAGTGGCCCCAGGACCATTTCCACTGTGCTCCGACTGTCGACTTTCGCTTCAACCTGCCAAAAACCCAGATCCCAGGCCAGCTGTAGCCCTTAAAATAATCCCCATAGCTCAGCCCCAGTAATAGTACCAGACCCAATGTTCATAAAAAATTTCTCAACCCATTGACCGAGATCATTTCGCACCAAACCACCTGCACTATATGTTGGAACCCACGAGGATCTCGATATGCACAAATCACAGACAAACATTCAACATAAACCTATGCGCAGCGGATCTAAAGGTTTGATGAAGAAAACTTACAGCTTAAAATTTATGTAGATCTGGCTGGCCCGGACAGTTGACCGCAAATCAAATCTTCACCACAAACATTGGGCCTAGCAGGGCACTAAAAACACACACTAAAAACACGCATATTTAGTAAAAAACACTCGCGAGGTCTCCAAAATTTCCGCGAGGTCGCGAGTCAGCAAGGCACTAGCAGGGCATGGGCACTCGCGTGGTCGCGAGATGGCCCGCTGGGTGCGGGCGTGCGCTGGCAAGGCGTGGGCGGGGCACGGCGCGGCACTCACGATATCGCGGACCAAGGCGCGAGACGCGGGCGCAGGCAGGACACTCGCGAGGTCGCGAGTGCTGGGCGCCGCGATTCTCGCAAGGTCGCCGGAGATTCGCGGCGTGGGCGCTGAACTCAAGTGCTGGTGCGGCGCGCAGGTG